CAAGCTCAGGTTGTTTTTCTTGTCTTTGAATCTTTGTTTTATGATAATTGAGATTGAAATGAGTCATTGCTGAGGATGTTTTTACTTTCAAGGTCAGTAACAAATGCTGGTCCAGGAACCACCTGCCGTGTAGCCAACCAGCCATGTGATGGTAGAATTTGTTCGTGTGTGGGCCCACTTTGACTTTCAAGTATAGGTTAAGTTCCTGTCACAAATGGAACCTGCAAATATTGTTGTTTACCACCAATAACCTGACCTTTGACCTTACTCTGAATAAGACATTACTCAGGTAGTAATATGTACATGAGTTGCTAATAAAACATTCCACCCATATTCTAATTTTACAGAGTTTAGTCTGATTATGGCTCATGTACACTACATCATACGTCTGATGTTTTCACAACCTTTTTGAAAATATTGCCATTGCTATTGCACCCATCCAAAACGGTTTGTCCCTCACCCTTAAAGTGTGACATTTCTTAGTCAGCCATCTTGGTTAGAAATAACCCAGGGCGTGCGTTGTCTGGTCGTTGTCACAAAATACTGTGAATTATATTATACTGTGATGTATACATGTCTGCATAATGCATCTATGGTCAGATAATAGCTTGAGTATGATCTTATTTGGGATAAGGTAATCAGAATAAGATGTTTACATGATAGTGTCTTATAAAGATTGTTGTCTTTATCTGGTTAGTATCGGTGTATTTGTGACCATGTAAACGTATCTAGTGTTGGGTTCGATTATCTTTCATTTATACAAAGCTCCTGAACAGGAAATTCAATATCAATGTAGGTTAAAGATAAGCTGATTTGCAGCTCCGAAAGCAAACTATGCTTTGAGATCATTTGAAAAGCCCACTGTGATTCACATCCTCTTCTGAGGAAGGAAAAGCAGAGAATGGTGTTATGATGAAAAGCTGACCCAGATGTCATGGAGGCTTTTCAAAGAACAAAAAATATATTACACCCACCACCAATCAGTAAAGACTCATCCACTCTGCTTTTATCAACTGCAGTCCCACAAGAGCTCTCGTAGCAGGATTGCTCTGAGAGGGCTGTGAATGGGTAACTTTGGTTTATTGTGTTGTTCATTTAAGTTATTGCATAATCATGTCTTACTTTGAATTTCAGATGAATGGTAAATGGTAAAAACGTACTGTGGAGCACTTCACATTACAGATCCCATTCACCCATTCACACACATTCATACAGTGCCTCCATATATGATATAGTATATTCTGTGTCAGTCATTCACAATTTGGGGTTCAGTATCTTGTAAAATGATAT